TTTCAAGTCGATAAGCCTTAAGGAAAGTGCTTGAATCGACATCGAAATTCACCAAGCCATTCTTCTTCCGGATTTGACCTCGCCTCATCGTCTCGTCACCAGGCCTAGCAGCACTCGTAGTGAGGATCTGCACCGATTGATCATGCGTTATTAATTATATTCTATACGTTCGGAACTGCTGTTCATTGAGAACTGTTCACCGACTTCATGATTTTTATTTTTAGTGACAGCATTGACTGTTGAAATTTTATTTTACATGTATGGGTATCTATTTCCTCTACGAAGTAACTAACATTAAGAATTTTGATGGCAGCAGACGAGTCTCGATTAACGCTAATTCGACATATACATGGTTGACCAGTGCATACCTACGGTTCGAGTCCCGCTTGGCCTGCTGATACGACGATGAGGAAGGATCGAAACTGTGGCTCGACATGGATGATAATTGCCTTTTGTGATTTTCGATAAAAAGTCAAGCCTTAATTTCCATAAATCGCGGCTAGAATCGCTATAACTACTACTCGAAACGGATGCCAATGGTGAATTACAAGTAACAACAAGCAAGACTATATTAACAGGCATTAACAAGCAAATGTTCATTGGGGCTTGAGGGGATTGCTCCGAGGATCAGTATATCAATATTAGGGCAGTTGTTCTTCGGGTTCCGGCGGGATTATCAAACCAGGCCTGCCCACGTGAACTTTGTACGAAATTAGAGGCCCAACAGTATAGTTTGAGCTAGCGCACTTATGAAAGTGTTTGGGATCATGAATTACTTTTTACCCTTCACTTTGTAGTGACCTATTCCTACACGTTCCAGCTACTGCGGTTAGTTTCGGCACATTACTTTCGCAGCTATTTCCCATCACACACTTTCCATTCATTAACGCCTCTTTTACATTGTTAATTCCACTCCAGGAATGTTTACTTTGTTTCTTCCTCCCTCTTGGCACGGAAGAACATGCTGAATTGCTCTGTTTTGCAGACAACCGATTTTTATACGCCTGATCACTACACAACCTCATAAGTACACTGCGGTAGTTTATCCTTCCTATCGATGTCAAGACAAGTCCCGAGATAGAACTCGCTCATTATTCGGTTATTATTAGTTTTCGCATTGTCTGCTGGGATAGATTTATTTGTGAATATTGTTAGGCCGGAAGATACAAAGACCAAGATGTTGTGGCCTCTATTTTGGTCGCAGTCTCCTTTTGATGTATAAAAGTGGTCTGACCTCGTTTTCGCAACTTAGTCGTGTTGCCAGGGTGACTTAGTTGGAAGTAACTTGTCGAAAGTCATCTGCTACAATAGATATCATAATTTCCAGCATCGGACCGTCGACTTGGTACATTTCCAGATGTTTCGCCGGCAGCATCAGTGAATCTTGCCAGTCCTAGCACCAAGCTACACCTCGTCAAAGAGACAAGTGAAGTCAATCTCTTGACGAGCCTTCTGTCCAACTGTTATGCAATCACTCCTCTTTCTGTCCTAGCCTATCTATATACTTATTATTCTCATGTCACACTCTCGCCATATCTAAACGTCTAACTTTTTTATATCCAACTCCTTATAAGGTGTCTCTTTTTATCGAGTTTAGTGCGGCGTCATCACACACACTGTTTACCTTGCCCCCCTTCCTTTCGACTTGATGATCCAACTCGAGCCTCCTATCCGGATCTGCATCATGGGCCCGTAAATCCGTTTCTTACCTTTTTAGTTGACAAATTTCACTCGGTTCGAGTTGCTGAGGCTAAAAGACAAGAAATGGATCTACGGGCCCATGAGGCAGATCAGGATAGGAGGTTTGAGTCGGATCACCATGTCGAAAGGAAGGGGATCAAGGTTGTTTCCAACAAAATCACCCTGATAACACGACTAAGTTGTGAAAACGAAGTAAGTCAACATTATTAGACCGGCTCTATTGATGAAAAGAGCATCTAAATGGTCTATCTTTTTCTTTCCCACCTTTCAGGAGATGGGGCACTTCGGTCCAGTCGGGGGTCGCGGCGCCTATAACGCCTACCTCGAGGGGCCTCTGGCGCCCGGAACTGCTGGGTCGGAGTGTGACCACGAGGGCCTGGCGCCCGTAGGTAAGACGGTCGGGGCATCGGGAGCCCCGGTGGCGCAGGTGCATCGGCTGCCGCATGCTTACGTAAATGAAGCACAAGTGCAGGCGCTTGGCGCCGTTATCAGGTCGACTGGGCAACAGGGATTTCGTTCAACTGCCGGCCCGATTTCAACTGAGTCTTCGGCGACTTCGGGCTTGGTCTTGACCCCGGTGGCAGCTTCAACCTCCGTTTCAGCCGACTCTGCCACGTCTGGAGAACTAAGAAGGCCTGAGCCTTCCGGTGCTGAGCCCCTGACCAAAACGGGACAGATGAGAGCCTCAGTCAAAGCTGGTCGACGAGATTACGGTGATGCTATATCCTTGATGTGCCCATTTATCCATTTCGCCTTGTCTAGGTCTGAAATTAAGCAAAATTCCTTATTCATCGAAAAAATGCGGGTTTCAAAGAATCTTCTGACTTAAGATTGATGCTAAGACCTTCATTTCATATGGAAATACATGATGAAAAGATTCGTAGGCCAATCTAATCTCACTAGAAGACGTCAGCTGATTCGCGTTTCCATGAGACATCTTCAAACGTTTCGGGTGAAGGCGGACTGAGCTTTAGTTCGTCATGTGACGAACACCGTCAGAGCACGATGGGACTTATTTTGTAAAAGCATCAAGTTAACACAAAATCAAGGAGATACAAATCAGCCGGCGTCTTCTGGAGAGATTGACCTACGAATCTCTATCATTATGTATTTCCATATGAAATGAAAGTCTTGGCATCAATCCTTATTCATCGACTGCTCAAATATGAAATTTTGCCACGTTAGGGCGAATTATTGTTTTATATTCTTATTTTCACTATATGCGAGAAGTCAAATCGTTTGCAAAAGACATCTTGAATAAGAACATGGGTAACCTCAGTTTACTTATGGTGAATTCAGATTTATAATTGAATTTTCTGCGATGAAATAATACAATACCATTACATTTTTTAACTAAATAGTATGTTTCGAAGTTCACTAGATCTTGGATAAGAACTTAAATGACCAAAATAAACTGTGTATATGGTTATCTTGTCTGAGTGTAATGGTAATCATAAAGCTGCCTCATCGACACATCATTTTGGTGAATTAGAAAACCTGGCTTGGCTTGAAAGTCAGATCTACTATGTCTGTGACCCACTGGCACCTGGGGTGCTTAAAACCTGGTTTGAAATCCATTTGGGGCTGCTGAGATGATGAGGCCCTGTATAGACCGCTATTTACTTTGGCCGAGGACACATCTTTTAAGATGTAAGTCTTGGTGAAATTCAATATCATTTTATTGTTGAGAATTCAACTATCAGTCCTTACATCACCTTTAGTTACCTAGCTTTTCTCGACTTCTAATTCACGATCTGCTGATATTTCTCAAGCTTACTTAGTATACTCTGAAATCTAACGGCATCGAGGTTATCCACTCATTTTCTTGTGAAAAATTTCGTCATTTGCTCCACATTGTTGTGATATAATAAAGAGATTTATAGAAGTGGGTTGACCTCGTCGTTGCAACTTGGTCTTGTTGTCAGGGCGAATTAGTAGAACTCACCTAGTCCGAAGTCGTCTGTCATAGTAGTTGTTATGATTTCCAGCATTAGACAGTGGACTTTGTACATTCTCAAACATTTCGCCTGTATCGTAGTCGGAATCATCAGTGAGTTTTGCCATTCTTCGCATCAAGCTACGAACTTGTCAAAGAGACAAATGAAGTCAATCCCTCGATAAACGTTCTGCCGAAAACGGTTACACTCTCACTCTTCTTTGTGTCCTGGCCCATCTATCTACTCTTTACCCCC